TTTATTGCCATGTTCCTGCATCTGACTGCACAAACTTGCTACTGTTACGAGAGCTTTTTATAATTGAATGGCTGTAAACTCATATTTTCTCAACTAATCGATTATGTTGTTAAGGGAAGATTTTGACGCACAAGTCACTATGTACTGCTTCTTACTATCTTGGATTAGGATTCGCTATGTTTGCAACGTCATACATTCAGGTAAAGTCTTCCAAAGGTTTTCTTCGACTTTAATTGCCTTGTGTTTATTGGCGTTGTAAAAGATATGTTATTGATTAGTCGCGAATTCCATGCATGCCTATGTACATTTGGAGCAGCGGTTTTGAAGTTTTCACATGATTTCGTCTACTACCCCGTAGAATTTTCGTTTGATTCCTCTCATGACCTGGACTAACTTCAGACCTCTGCTTTCTAGCGCCAAGAATCGATTAGGTCTATTTTCAAGAATGCACGGTCACCATTCAGGGTAAACGGCGGGGGTACAGTATGATAGCATGGTTTTGATGTTAGCTTCCAACAGAGTGGTGCATAAACCTAGTGGAATCGCACGAAATGGATCTGTGATGCGCGCAGATTCTTGCGCCCAATCAATAATGTATCTGGTACAGCGCTAAAAGTCTGAGGGTAATTATACAGCCAAAAACTCTTAAAGTCTTTTTCACGTACTTCTCTAAGCTTTCTATATATTAGATAGCATAGCATAAGAAGCACAAATTATTCAACGCCGACCAATCCCTTTCTGGTGTACGCCGTGAATCCTACTTTTGTTCAAAACCGTAATAGCATTTTAATGGCCGTGGAATTGGGCCAAATGATTCGAAGGCGATGTTTTTTATGGGGTACCCCCAGGAGGCCCGTCGCGCGGCAAGAAGGCAGAGTCAGCGGACGAGTCGCGCGCGTACTGTAGGGATTTCGCGTCAAGTTAAATAGAATGTCCATTGCACGTCCTACATCGCACATCACGCGCTGCGACTCGTCCGCTGACTCTGCCTTCTTGCCGCGCGACGGGCCTCCTGTCGGGTACCCTGGCTTATGCAGTGAATTTCGAGGCCAGTCGATGTGCAAGTCAGCATTACACTACCTCCCCAGAAGTGTGGTACCGAATACTTGAACCCAGGAGGGATGGAAAGGCGTTTGTTTTGGGCGAGATTCGATCCGAGATGACTTCCTTGCCGGCGCATAATGAGCGGCGCCGCTTTCCACTACACCAACTTCGCTCATGAACTTATCACCATAAACTGCTGAAGCTTTTTTCCCCAGTTGAATTTTATTTTGATCTTTTGTTCCAGATTGTCTGCTGGGAAACGTTCGCCGAGCGGATCACCCATAAATTACGCCAAATTTATCTGAAAGCCATTCTTCGGCAGCAGATCTCATGGTTTGACGCTCAGCAGACAGGGAATCTCACAGCTCGTCTCACCGAGTTAGTTCAAATGGAATATATTATTGATTAGTGCCGGATTTTTGAGACACTCTTTATTTTATTCAGTGATCTCGAACGTGTTCGTGAAGGCTTAGGCGATAAACTCTCGTTGTTTATCCAAATGGTGTCCGCTTTTGTGGCCGGTTTTGGTGTTGGATTCGCGTACAGGTCAGTCTGTTACTGTGGTCAAGCTCCGCCCATTGGACGAGTTTTCCTGTTTCAGTTGGTCGATGACGCTCGTGATGATGGTCGTTGCACCGTTCATTGTGTTCTCGGCTAGTTGGATGTCAAAAATTGTAGCTACGAGGTGAGCTTTCACGGAACAACTTTGAATTTGAATAACTGGGGGTTTGTGCTAGTTGTCCGTGAGCACTCTAAAATGAAAAGTGGCAGATATTCAGCACTTACGGTGCGTTGGACGAACTGTTGAAGCATTAATCGGAGAAAAAAGTCTGTCTATTTTCTGATTTGTTCAACATAAACTGATTGATCTTTCTTATATTGACAGCTTCTGCTAACAACTGATAAGAATTGCCATAATATATGGAGAACCAAAAGAAAGTGGTTCAGGAAGGGAATGAGTCTGCCCTGAATTGAACAAAGAGAAAATGATAAGATCCCGGCGCTGATCATTTATCTTTGGACTGAGCCACGCATTCAACTTCGATTCGAAACAGTGGTGATTCATTGAATAAAATAGCGAAATATTGGGGTGGATAGCGAGGAAAGCGCTGCTTGTACTCTCTAGGCCGATTCGGCACAGAATCAAGAGGATGGGAATTTTAGCCTTCAGCTTTAGGCAAGAATCCTTGTTTGCCTTCACTCCACCTGTTTCCCTTAGGCCAATGTTAGACTTTGCGAATCGAGCTTAGCGTCCGCGGTCGCGTTGCGGTACCAGCCAATTGAGTGATTCACTGGCCGCGACGCGACCGCAGACGCTAGCGAATCGCTCGATTCGCAAAGTCTGACATCGGCCTTGGGCTAATACTGTACAAAACTCGCTCTTCTAGAAACCCATTTTCAGTGTTGAAAAGGCTAATTGTAAACACTTTTGGGCGCTATCGCAGTATGCGGGGGCATCTTCTAGGACAAAGCTCAGGATTAGGCAGGGCTCCGAGGATAAAAATGTCTCACGCACCCTAGAGTCTCTCCTTCCCCGCCTAAGGCTAGTCCCTCTCCAACGAAGGACTGTTCTACAAAGTTTGAATGCATTTGCTACCACAATGCCCCGTATATTGCGGTAGCGCCCACTTTGTTCTATTTTCGGCTATTTCTGCACTGTCTCATAAGTCACGCATCGAAAAAGTTTGTAATACTAGAGACTCCTCCTCCCTGTTATTTTACACGGTTTCTGTGATTCCCCGTATCAGCCGCTCTGCTGTACCCATGAAGTCGCGCATGTGCGAATGTGCAAGCATAATTCCGTTTGTTCGATGTCATGTGGCATATCTTATTTCTAGTAATTCCACTCGCATGAGTTACCTTTGTGTTTGCGCCATGAAGGCAATATTCGGGATTTCCTGGACGAAATTGAGCTATTGCGCGATGAATTTGGAGGGGACACAAAAGTGAGCATGTATCCATTTGGCGCCACAGCGTAATAAGGCTGAGGCGCTAAAGCCCGCGGATTAGCCATAAGCTCCACCCACCCATGTCAAAACCCGGCAGAATCATGCTGTCTCTGCGCTTCAGTCGCTGACTGTGAGGAAGCTTTATTCTCCGTCCTTATCTACGGTTTATTCCGCATTTTTTTTTTCATGCACTAAGGCGTTCGCATTCACATCTCCTCTGCCACTCACAAGCGCAATAACACGTCACTTTGCTTCCAGACTTGGCCTTGAACTTTGAAAATGCTTTGCAACCCTTGTCGAATTCACAGGTGCTTATAAGGGTTTTATTTTCTCTTGAATAAAATCTAGCAAACTTTCGAACTTCGCACATAAATATACAGGTAGGGACTTTCATGGCGCTTGATGTTTCCGGTTTTCTTTTCAGGACCCAAGTCGAACAGGAAACCTATGCTGTCGCTGGCGCCATAGCCGAAGAAACATTTTCATCCATACGTACGGTGCACGCATTATGTGGTCATAAAAGAGAGCTACAAGGTTGTTTAAAGGTGTGTTCTAACCTACCGTAACCCACATGAATGAATAGTTTTCAGGTTTGAGGCAGCGTTGGAAAAAGGGCGTAAGACAGGACTTGTCAAATATTTCTACATGGGTGTTGGTGTCGGATTTGGTCAGATGTGTACTTATGTGTCCTACGCTTTGGCTTTTTGGTAAGTGACAGATTAGGGTAAATAGGTTGGGTATGGGTAAATTTCCCCTGCCAGAGTTCATCATCGTTCAGGTACGGTAGCACACTGATCATTAGCGACCCAACGCTGGACCGTGGCCGCATTTTCACCGTATGTTTTCTCCACTAGGATGTGGACCTTGAAAGTTTCGATCGATACCTATCGTTTGTACAGGTGTTCTTCGCAGTAATGTCCGGCTCATCAGCTCCTGGGCACCTGCCTCCCATATCTGAACACTATATCGATCGCTCAAGGTGCTGTTCGGAAAGTGTGCTGAAAGTGATCAACAGCGTGAGTGATACAGACTTAAGGGGTGGGGCTACGGTCAGAGAGGCGGAAAAATCCTGCCTGTTTTCCATTTCAGCGCCCAAAAATCGATCCATATTCACTAGATGGAATTGTACTGAACAATATGAGGGGATCTATTCGCTTGAAGAACGTACATTTCTCTTATCCTTCAAGAAGTACCCTGCCGGTGAGGAGTTTTCACAGGTGTCTTATAAGTTGCGCATAATAGGCAGGGTGCCTTATTCACCTTCGTTTAGATATTGAAAGGCGTGTCCTTGCAAGTGGCAGCAGGCCAAAAGATCGCTCTGGTGGGCAGTAGTGGCTGTGGAAAGTCGACGATTGTCAATTTGCTGCTGAGGTTCTACGATCCGACTAGAGGAAAGGTGAGCCAATTTCAGGGTCAGTGGGCGGGACTTCAATCAGAGATGCGGAGTGGTCTCTGGATCTTTTTACTAATCTGGTTTTATCCGGATTTTTTCTTGTTGTTGTGCTGAAAAGTATTCGTTAAGGTAACCATAGATGACATTGACGTTTGCGATCTCAACGTTCACAAACTTCGTGAACAAATCGGTGTTGTTAGTCAGGTAGGTGTGTTGGGTAATTTTTGGCCTACTAGTCCAGCTTTTATTGCACCATGGATAGGAGTGGCTAATTCATGGGGGTAAGGGTTCAGGTTTGGGGGCATGACCCAAGACGGGTTAGTAACTCCTTTTTGTGGATAGGATGAGGCTGTTGATGAAGCAGAAATCACGTCCTTTAGGCTCGCACCAAAAGTGCCAGGGCCTTGCAAAGACCGCTTCGATCACTTTTTTTCATCCACAGTGTACTGGTGTCTGCTCTCTCTCTCTCGTCCCTTGTGCTCACTTGCCTATACCCTCTCTCCCGTGCTGAGTCTCTTATCCTTAGTGCGAAAGTGAACAAGACCAACTCTAGCGCTGTAACGGATTCCCTCCTTTTTTCTTCACTGCCGGCCCGTTTCACAAACGCTTTCATTCGTTGCAAAAACCACATCAGTTTAATCCTGTGCCAGCCTTTAAATCCGATTTGCTCTGTACAACTTGTGGACAATGCATGTTGATTTTTCTTATCCAATGGGCAGTCCATCACTTTGAATGATTCTGTTGGCGCACGTACTGTCCGGTCTAGGGTTTAATCCCCAATCCGGGCAAGGAGCGCCACTCGCCCCTACAGCACCACACATTATTGTCAAGGAAAATGAGTAACACCTCATATATGGCGTCGATAGGTTGCGGTAGCTTCGTCAGGTATTCCTCAACCCTCAACCGGCAGTAAAAAAGAGAGGAATCTGTCGAAAACGCTACGTTAGAGGCTTGCTCATCTTCGTGATCCGACTGTGCTAAGGCAATGAGAGACTGGGCGCGAAGGGAGAGTATGAGGCGAGAGAGCGCAACAGATGAGAGGGCGCCAGGCAACAGCCTGCTGTGGACGGGGAATTGAAGCTGTTGCAGCTACTTTGCAAGGCCTAGCGCCCTTGTCGGGTGATTTCCATGCACGGGAGTGCCACATCTGTGATTGTCCTCTAGGGTCTATCCTACAGACCGAAGGGAATCGTTCACACGACTCTGCCTGGGTTGTGCCTTTGAACTAGTTCATGTATAAGAGTGCCATTACTTTACATATATCTTCCTCATCCCGTTCCAGGAGCCAGTACTATTCGATGGGACATTATTTGAGAATATTCGAATGGGATATGAGCACGCCACTATGGAAGAGGTCCAGGAAGCTTGTCGTATTGTAAGTAT